GTCGGGGAACAGGATCATGGGGGAGGGGGGGGAGCCGGTTTATTCAGGCAACACAGCAAGGACGGGGGGATGCCATGTGGGCCGGTGGAAGGAGTTGGGATGGGGAAAACAGGGAAGTAGAGACGTGGTACGTACACGCACAGCGGCAAAATTCTCCCTTGGGCGGTGGTTTCTCGTCCGGCACGACCAAATAGGTTGCGTAAGATAGCACTTCCCCTGGACCGAAGTTCGAAATCTCTACATCGTTCCACGACCAAGAGGAGGGTGCCCAAATCAAACGATGAATTTTTCGCAAAGCTCTCGACGAGACAGTTCCAACGCCGCCATTTTGGTCACCGTCACTGCCGTTTTTTCTGCCGACTAATCGAGCTTTGAAAAACGGTCCAAGGGGGTGCAATATCTTGTGCACGGTATACTTGTGTGGAAAAGCACTTCCGCCACTTGGGGTACACTGGTACGTACAGGCGCCAAACCAAACGTAGGAGTCTAATATCTGATTCTTCCATTGTCGCCGAAATACGGTTGAACGAACACAGTAGCCGTAGTGATAGAAAAGCGAGCCAGGATCACCGGGCTCAAGTCTCAATTCATGTCTGAGGTGACACACTTACGCAGGCGCGGCGAGATTAGCCCAAAGACGTGAACAAGAAAATGAAATATCGCTGCTTGCTGCTCGGGAAACTGTAGAAATATATTGGTAGTTTCCGCCGACGTCATGAACTTACGGAGACGCTATTCTATGGATAGTAATGGAATCGTGTCCGACTGATTCTTGTGCATCCGTACCGGAACCGCGGAATTGTGCCGATCCTGGATCATGATGTTTTTGGATTAGGAATCCGGGTGTAAAAAAATCAGGCAGTGTCGTCGCCAGTGAGCTCACCCACACATGGACACGACCGCATCGAAGTGGGTCGGCGTGAAGTCGTGGAGGAAGTCGGAGGTGTGGCTGGAGATGTCAACGCCGACTTCCTGCATCACCGCCTGCGAGATGTGTCGGGAAAGCAAGCAATGAAACAAATGTTAGCAAGTTTGTGAGGGCACAGCCGATGCAGACCAACTATTTCCTGTTCGTGTTGAAACCGCCGCATCACGGCCTGCGAGGAGTGTCGGGAAAAGCAGTGAAAACATGCACACACAGAAGCACATCGGCGACCAGTGCGCGAGGGAGGAACGCAAAAAAAACAACTGATCGACGCTTCAGTTGAAGAAAAACATGCATACAATAGATGCGCCAACGGGGACATAAGAACATTAAGCTATGGCGATTATTGGGAGTCTACACAATGTCCATCGCCTTTTGTCCAGCTGAACTCAGACCCGAAACCCAAACACCCAAACATATCTAAATAGCCTCCCCCATGGCAGCCCCTCATGGGGTCCCAGATCATGGTCTCTGGAAGCACTTTGCGCTCTCAACCGCACTGAGACTGACGTCGTTTCATTGGTCAGTCGGTTAGCGCGGTCCGTTCCAACAAAAACACACAAAACGCAAACACTTTTCCTCTGTTGCTGCCATTTCTGTCTTTGATCCGGACAACAGGTTAGTCTTCCCCATGCCGCCCCCTCACGAATTCCCAGTTAATGGC